TATTTACATTGCTCATGTTCCTTTTAAACTGTAGAGTCAGCAATATGTAATATACGCTTACAGGGCCTACTCTAATCATTATAAAGTGGAAAAGTGATGATAGCTAACATGTATTAAATGACTATTCAGTGCCAGGAATAGTGAGTGCTTTATTCCACTGACTCTTAATCTTCCCAACAAGATTGTAAGGTGTAGGCATTTCCATTTTACAGATGAAGCAACTGAGAGGCACCTCTGGCTTGAGTCTACTATGTGTTTAATACCTGTGCTATGCTGCTTCTGATGGTATTCAGTTACATGCTATTTATGAAGCTAAGAATTTGGCTGTCTTTTATTATTTTTTAATTTCATTAATTTTATTATTATTTTTTGAGACAGAGTCTCACTCTGTTGCTCAGGCTGGAGTGCAGTGGTGTGATCTCAGCTCACTGCAACCTCCGCCTCCTGGGTTCAAGTGATTCTCCCTCCTCAGCCTCCTGAGTAGCTGGAATTACAGGTATGTGCCACCATGCCTGGCTAATTTTTGTATTTTTAGTAGAGATGGGATTTCACCATGTTGGTCTGGCTGGTCTCAAACTCCTGACCTTAGGTGATCTGCCCACCTCGGCCTCCCAAAGTGTGAACCACCGCGCCTGGCCGGCTGTGTTTTAAAGTACAGTATACTCCATTGTTAACTTTGTTATAACCTCTGTTCCACTCTGACCTTTAGATTTTTACACATTCTGGCTGGTCACTGGCATTTCCTATGAGAACACTTGGTGTTTCCTCTTCTAGGTTTTTCCTTTGAGGGAGTTCCCAATAATTCCATTTTATTTGTTGAAGTTTGTTCCCTTTTTCTGGGTAAAGACTCCCATACTACCCACCTTAGTTTATAATTCCCTCAGCCTGATCCAGATTGCACAGAAGTTATCCTAAGCTGATGCTCCTGACTCCTGTGAGATCATTGCACCGTTTTCCTGATTACTCTCCAAAGTTGATTTCAGATGAATTTAGGCTAAGACCTTGATACTCAAAACTGTAGCCCCCAGACTGGCAGCATCAGCATTACCCAGGAGCTTGTAAGGAAAATAAAATCTTCAGGCTACTACACACTTGCCAAGTGACAATCTGCATTTTAACAAGATCGCCAGGTGATTCAAAGGCACTTTTAAGTTTGAGAAACATGGAATAGGTGACTTTTTATTTTTTATTTTACTATTATTTTTTGAGATGGAGTCTCGCTTTATCCCCCAGGCTGGAGTGCAATGGCATGATCTCGGCTCGCTGCAACCTCTGCCTCCTGAGTTCAAGTGATTCTCCTGAATAGCTGGGATTACAGGCACTTGCCATCATGCCCGGCTAATTTTTGTATTTTTGTAGAGAAGGGGTTTCACCGTGTTGGCCAGGCTGGTCTTGAACTCCTGACCTCAGGTGATCCTCCCTCCTCAGCCTCCCAGAGTGGTGGGATTACAGGCATGAGCCACTGCGCCCAGTGGAATAGGTGACTTCTAAGGTCCTTGCAGTTCTAGATGTCTATACTACTATGAAAGACATGTCTGTGCAGTTTTATCACTTTAACCCTTAGCTCTATTGTTTACTAATGGTGAAGCTTTGGACAAATTACTTGACCTCTCTGTGCCTTTGTTACTTCATCTGTAAAATGGTAATTCCCCCAAAGGGTTGTTATATATGTGCTTAGAACAGTGCCTTGTTGGGAATAGGCCCCCAAAATCTGGCCATAAACTGGCCCCAAAACTGGCCATAAGCAAAATCTCTGCAGCACTGTGACATGTTTGTGATGACCATGTTGCCCACACTGGAAGGTTGTGGGTTTACCAGAATGAGGGCAAGGAAACCTCGCCCACGCAGGGTGGAAAACTGCTTAAAGGGGTTCTTAAACTATAAACAATAGCATGAGCAATCTGTGCCTTAAGGACATGCTCCTGCTGCAGATAACTAGCCAGAGCCCATCCCTTTATTTTGGCCCATCGCTTTGTTTCCCGTAAGGAATACTTTTAGTTAATCTGTAATCTATAAAAGCAATGCTTATCACTGACTTGCTGTCAATAAATATGTGGGTAAATCTCTGTTCGAGGCTCTCAGCTCTGAAGGCTGTGAGACCCCTGATTTCCCACTCCACACCTCTATATTTCTGTGTGTGTGCCTTTAATTCCTCTGGTGCCACTGGGTTAGGGTCTCCCTGACCGAGCTGGTCTTGGCAAGTGGTGCCCGTATGTGGGGGCTCAAATTCAGGTCAAAGGGTCGCCAGAGCGACAGTTGGAGAATGTGGAACTAAGGTGGAGGACACCTGAGTACTCTTAAAGCAATCCCCGTGGTGAGTAAGAAGGGGAGCTCGGAAGCAGCAGGGTAACAGTGGGACAGGTGTGGGCTCTGGTTCATTCTACCTTGGAACCTTTTCACAGATGATGACGAGGAATGAGAGTATAATGAAGTAACAGAAGAAGTAACAGAGTAGGTTTGTTTGCCAGCTAAAGCTAAAGCGGCAAAGGAGGGAGAGGTTCATCCCTACCCTTCTGCACCCATCATTATTATTTTGAAGAAAAAGAGTGGCCTGATCCTCCAGATCTTTCTTTTCCGGAGGATCACTGGGCAAAAAGTAGTTGCCTCAGTGACTGTTCGAGCAGGGCCTCGAGCGACTGCTCTCAGTTCTATTCAGGCAGGAGCTCAGCAAGTTAGATGAGAGGGTGATTTGGAGGCTTGGCAGTTGCCTGTTAGAATACACCCCCCAGATCAACAGGGAAATATTATAGCTACATTTGACTCTTTTCCTTTTAAATTACTCAAAGAATTTAAGCAAGCTGTTAATCAGTATGGACCAGGTTCTCCTTTTGTAATGGGACTGTTAAAGAATGTTGCTGTTTCCAGTGGGATGATTCCTACTGACTAGGATGCTCTTACTCGAGCTTGTCTAACTCCTGCTCAGTTCTTACAGTTTAAAACTTGGTGGGCAGATGAAGCTTTCATTCAGGCTGCTCGCAACGCCCAGGCCCAACCTCAAATTAATATAACTGCAGACCAACTTTTGGGGGTCGGCAGCTGGGCTGGTTTAGATGCACAAGTGATCATGCAGGATGATGCCATAGAACAGCTTAGAGGAGTGTGCATTAGAGCTTGGGAAAAAATCACTTCAGGTGGAGAACAATACCCTTTCTTTAGTGCTGTAAAGCAGGGACCAAAAGAACTGTATGCGGATTTTATAGCTTGGTTACAGGAGTCTCTTAAAAAGGTGATTGCAGATTCGGCTGCTCAGGATATAGTGTTACGGTTATTAGCTTTTGACAATGCTAAGCCTGATTGCCAGGCTGCTCTGCAACCTATTAGAGGGAAAGCACATTTAGTTGATTATATCAAGGCCTGTGATGGTATTGGAGGTAATCTGCATAAAGCTACTTTGTTGGCACAGGCAATGGCAGGACCAAGAGTGGATAAGGGAAATATTCCGTTTCCTGGAGCTTGTTTTAACTGTGGAAAGCATGGTCATACTAAAAAAGAATGTAGAAAAAATCAGCAAGTCAGGCCACCAGATAGGGGAAAAAAGAAAACTGCTGAACCTGAAATATGTCCAAAATGTAAAAAAGGAAAACATCGGACTAAACAATGTCACTCTAAGTTTCATAAAGATGGGAACCTGATTTTGGGAGACGCTATGAGGGGCCCATCCCGGGCCCCATTCCAAACCGGGGCATTTCTGGCTCAGGCCATTCCCTCACCCCTGTACAATGTCCCCTGCCCCAGCTGGTAGTGCCGCAGTAGATTTATGCTGCACAAAAGCTGTGAGCCTTCTGCCTGGGGAACCCCCACAAAAGGTCCCAACAGGAGTCTGTGGACCCTTGCCAGCAGGGACGATAGGATTACTTCTAGGAAGGTCTAGTTTAAGTTTAAAAAGGGTACAAATATAAATAGGAATCATTGATTCAGGTTACATTGGGGAAATTCAAATTATTATATCTACTTCTGTTCCCTGGAAAGCAGAGCCAGGAGAGCGTATAGCACAGCTCCTGATTGTGCCATATGCGGGAATGGGGGAAAAGTGAAATTAAATGAACAGGAGGATTTGGAAGCATAAATAAACAAGGCAAAGCAGCTTATTGGGTAAATCAAATTACTGATAAACGTCCTACCTGTGAAATAACTATTCAGTGAAAGAAATTTAAAGGTTTGGTAGATACAGGAGCCAACATTTCAATCATTTCTCTGCAGCACTGGCCGCCCACTTGGCCAATTCAACCTGCTCAATTTAACATAGTTGGAGTTGGTAAAGCCCCTGAAGTATATCAAAGTAGTTATATTTTGCACTGTGAAGGGCCCAATGGACAACCTGGGACTATTCAACCAGTTATAACTTCTGTACCTATAAATTTATGGGGAAGAGATTTATTGCAACAATGGGGAGCACAAATTCTAATTCCAGAACAATTATATAGCCCTCAAAGTCAACATATGATTCATGAAATGGGGTATGTCCCTGGTATGGGACTAGGAAAAATTTGCAAGGTTTAAAAAAAACCGCTTCAAGCGAAAGGACAACAGTTCCCACCAAGGTTTAGAATATCATTTTTGATGGTGGCCATTGTTAAGCCTCCAGAACCTATACCTTTAAAATGGTTAACGGATAATGTCCCAGGCTATACTAGCCAATCTCTAGCTACATTTTTCTCTGTATGGAATATTAAACACATTACTGGTATCCCATATAATTCTCAAGGACAAGCCACAGTGGAAAGAATGAATCTCTCCCTAAAACGGCAGCTGCAAAAGCAGAGGGAGGAAAACAGGGAATATGGAACACTGCAGATGCAACTGAATCTAGCATTATTAACTTTAAATTTTTTGACTCTGCCCAAAGGCCAGATGGTATCAGCAGCTGAACAGCATCTACAGAAACCAACTGCAAAGACAGAAGCCGAACAACTGGTTTGGTGGAGAGATTTGATAACAAAAAGTTGGGAAATAGGTAAAATAATAAACTTGGGGTAGAAGTTATGTTTGTGTTTCTCCAGGCCAAAATCAACAGCCAATTTGGATACCATCAAGACACCTGAAAGCTTATCATGAGCGAGATGCTGAGAAAGAGATTCCAGAAGGATCCCGAGGACCCCCCAGTTGCAGCCATGTCAAGACTGATGCTGAGAGAGGAGGACCCCAACTGTCACAAGCAACACCCGTCGAACACAGCCACCCACCTGGAGACAGATCAAGAAGCAGTCATAGATGGCGGAAGAAAACCTGAGCAAAGTGGGACAATCAGTCACAATGAGTAATTTAATGGTAGCTATGATAGCGGTGATCACCATTGCCATGAGTATTTCTTCAACAAGGGCTAACACAGAGAACAATTATACTTATTGGGCATATTTATCAATCTTGTCTGGCAATAATGTCTGGATGTAATCACTCTATGACACAGTGATACACGCTTTCTGATCTCAGTATTTACCATAATAAATCTGCTCCTATAATTGAGGCATACCGCCCTCAAAAACCTATTTGTAAACAGGATTGCCTCAGTTAGAAAAAATGAACGTACTTGTTTAGGAAGATTGCATTGCAGAACAGGCAGAAGTGCTGTTCTACGATTCCCATGGAGTCATTATTAATTGGTCCCCTAAGGGAATCTTTAGCTTGAATTGCACCTCTCAGTCTGCATGCCATGGTCACACTATGTTCAGCTGGTCTGAACAAAATGGTCAGATGGTAGAAATGATAAGAAGTACGGCAAGAGTTCCTATTATCTGGAACCATGGCGGTATAGTGGCATCTCACCCTCAAATGATGTGGCCTGTTGTAGGAGCTAAACAAGGATTTGTGGAAACTATTATTAAAAGAACAAACATTTAAGGCATCCCAGGCACACCTGACCTTAATGCCAGCAACCCGAGTGCTTGAAGAAGCTGCAGACAGTTTAGCAGCTAGTAACCCATTAAAATGGATAAAAACACTTGGAAGCTCTGTGATGTCAATGATGATTGTGCTTTTAATCTGTGTCATTTGTCTTTGTATAGTCCGCAGATGCGGATCCCGACTCCTTCGACTCCTGCGAGAAGTAGCTCAGCGTGACAAAGCTGCCTTTGTTTTTATCACTTTGCAAATCAAATAAGGGGGACATTTTGGGAATAGGCCCCCAAAATCTGGCCATAAACCGGACCCAAAACTGGCCATAAACAAAATCTCTACAGCACTGCAACATGTTCGTGATGGCCATGACACCCACGCTGGAAGGTTGTGGGTTTACCGGAATGAGGGCAAGGAACACTTGGCCCACCCAGGGTGGAAAACTGCTTAAAGGGGTTCTTAAACTACAAACAATAGCATGAGCGATCTGTGCCTTAAGGACATGCTCCTGCTGCAGATAACTAGCCAGAGCCCATCCCTTTATTTTGGCCCATCCCTTTGTTTTCCGTAAGGAATACTTTTAGTTAATCTACAATCTATAAAAACAATGCTTATCACTGACTTGCTGTCAATAAATAGTGGGCAAATCTCTGTTCGAGGCTCTCGGCTCTCAAGGCTGTGAGACCACTGATTTCCTATTCCACACCTCTATATTTCTCTGTGTGTGTCTTTAATTCCTCTAGCACCACTGGGTTAGGGTCTCCCCGACCGAGCTGGCCTCAGCAGTGCCTGACACATAGAAGGTGCTACAGAAGTGTTGTTAGCTGTCCTAATATTGAATATGCTTCTATGAATACATGTAACTCCCAGTGCCAGGTCAGGCGGGGGAAGAAGAAATTTGAGAACTGACAATGAAGCGACTTCACTGGAGAATGGGGTTGTAGAGGCTTCTGCAATCTAAGTGGGAGATCAGGAATTGTAGGCCTGGGGGCTGTACTGAACAGCTTGCTCAGGCCCTCACCATTTTTTTTTTTTTTTTTGAGATGGAGTCTCTCTCTGTCACCCAGGCTGGAGTGTGCAGTGGCACGATTTTGGCTCACTGCAAGCTCTGCCTTCTGGGTTCACATCATTCTCCTGCCTCAGCCTCCCAAGTAGCTAGGACTATAGGCACCCGCCACCACGCCTGGCTAATTTTTTTTTTTTTTTTGGTATTTTTAGTAGCTACAGGGTTTCACCATGTTAGCCAAGATGGTCTCAATCCCCTGACCTCGTGATCCGCCCGCCTCAGCCTCCCAAAGTGCTGGGATTACAGGCATGAGCCACCGCGCCGAGCCTCACCTTTTTTTTTTTTTTTTTTTAAGAACTCAGGACATAGAGTGGATAGTGCCTTCTCCCAGCAATTCCTATGTCTGTGACCCAGTGCTAGAGCTGCCTGTAAAACAGATCTTTGGTTGTGCTGGGCTGTGCTTCTTCCAGGGGCTGGAAGAAGATTGTGAGATTGGTGTTAGAGGGAAGCCTGTGAAGATAGGTGGGAAATGAAAACAGCACAAATCTTGTGTAAAATAGATAAGCATCTCTTATTATTGGACAGTCTTTGTGGGAAGGTCTATGGCACATAGAAGATGTTAGTTAATATCAAATTGCTAGTATTTTCTGCAAGGTGACTTCCCTATTCCCAGATGAGGGTGCTATGTCCTCTTGCTAGACTACAGCCTCAGGTCACATTTTGTGCACACGTCTTTCCAGGGCTTCAAGCTCAGCCAACACCTCTTTGGGCAGATCCTGGTTGACCTGCTCTGTCAGGTAGCTCCGAATGTCACGAACCTCCTGTTCCCAAAAATCCTTGGGGAGGGAGAACAGCTGAGTGGTGTCTATAGCTCCGAGGCCACTGAGATCCAAGGCTCCTTCCTTTGGCACCAGCCCAATGGGTGTCTCTCGGGCACTGTCCTCCCCCTCTAACCGCCGGCAGATCCAGTCTAGCACCCGAGCATTCTCCCCAAAGCCTGGCCACAGGAAGTGCCCTGCCTCGTCACGCCGGAACCAGTTGACATGGAAGATACGGGGCAGCTGGGCCCCCTTGCGCCCCTCCATGCTCAGCCAGTGTTCCAGGTAGTGCCCAAAGTTGTAGCCAAAAAAGGGCCGCATGGCAAATGGGTCGTGCATGATGATCTTCCCTAGGGAGGGGAGCAAGATGGGTAAGGAATCTTCCTTCTCACTGGGGAAGGGAAGGGCACCCTGCACCCAGTTGGAAGAAGCTGTGAAAGGCTCATGGTTCTGGAATATCTTCAGGGATGGGGAAAAGATAGAAATGGGAAGAGGTGGAGCCATATCAGACTCCAGGGGTGGACAAAAGGAAGGTCTGGCTCAGGAAGGGAGAGAGGAAGTGCTGTGTGTGCACAGAGGAGAGGGAGGAATGGCGAGGGTGCTCACCTTTGTGTTCTGCTGCAGCAGTGGACTCAGAGCGCATGGCACTGCCCACAAACACCCCATGACGCCAGTTGAAGGCCTCGTATACCAGGGGTACCCCTAGATCACCAATGAACAGAGTCACAGGCAGCCCTTTTCTTTGGACCCTCACTCGAGCCCTTCTGGTGAGCTTGACTGGTACTGTCTCTCCTAGGACCTTGGCTATCCCATTTTCAGACCCTTTGCCTCCTCCCAAGTTTGCATTCACCAGGGGAGAACTCTGGAGACAGACAGCTACAGGTAAGATGCAGGCCGAGGCTCTGGATCAGAGGGAGGGAGGTAGACCCTGATACAGACATAGCCCTTTTGCCAAGAGCATGGAGCTCACATGTTGTTTACCTTTGGGTCTGCGGCCACCAAAGATGATGGCGTCAATGGGGACACCCTCTGGGGCCTCCCAGGCTGGGTCCATGATGGGGCACTGGCGAGCCGGGGCACAAAAGCGAGAGTTGGGATGTGCACAGGGCTCCTTGTCACCTGGCAGAGGAAATACAAACACTATTATTTCCAAGGTCATGTCGACCCCCAACACACACATATATGGGCACACATTCTTGCAGGGTTCTTTTTTTTTTTTGTCTCATCAGCTGCCTAGAACTTTGTGTGATAAGGAGCAGAGAGAAGGGAGCCAGGGCATCTCCAAAAGCTCAGGTTATTTAGCCATGAAGGTGCTGCCAGCTGAGCTATGTGAGAAAAGAGTGGGAGAGGAATTGGGGTTTGGCAGCACACTAATGTTTGTGCCAAGCTACTGGCACTTGGCACTGACCAGGGCTCAAGGGAATGGGGTTAGATATGGGCATAAAGTTATAATAATTTTTCCCCCAGAAACTATTTCGTTATTTGCGAGATTATTATTTAAATACCCAAACCTAAAGCAAAAACTGAGAATGTCAGCTTAGTACCTCAGACAATTGACTTTCCATCAGCAAACTGGGGAAGACAGACTCTCCTAAATTACCAAAATGCAAACAGGAATTTATTTTATCTTTTTATTTTTGAGGTGGAGTCTCGCTCTGTTGCCCAGGCTGTAGTGAGCGCAGTGGCGCAATCTCAGCTTTCTGCAACCTCCGCCTCCCGGGTTCAAGCAATTCTCCTGCCTCAGCCTCCCCAATAGCTGGGATTACAGGCACCCACCACCATGCCTGGCTGATTTTTTTGTATTTTTAATAGAGATGGGGTTTCACCATGTTGGCCAGGCTGGTTTCAAACTCCTGACCTTAGGTGATCTGCCCACCTCGGCCTCCCAAAGTGCTAGGATTACAGGGGTGAGCCACCGCACCTGGCCTGATTTTATTTTAATTAATTAATTAATTTATTTGTGAGACGGAGTTTTACTCTGTCGCCAGGCTGGAGTGCAGTGGCACAATCTTGTCTCACTACAACCTCTGCCTCCTGGGATCAAGCGATTCTCCTGCCTCCTGAGTAGCTGGGATTACAGGCGTGAGCCACCATGCCCAGCTAATTTTTGTATTTTTAGTAGAGATGGGGTTTTGCCATGTTGCCAGCCTGGTCTCGAACTCCTGACCTCAGGTGATCCACCCGCCTCAGCCTCCCAAAGTGCTGGGATTATAGATGTCCACCCAGCAAGGAATTGATTTTAAAGCTAACAAAATGCTGGAGATTTCCCTGCCCTGCTTAGACCCTGATGAAGTGATAGGGCTTGAAGAATAGAGATAGGGATATCACATGGGTAGGGATAACCTTAGGAGCCCAGGTCATACTTGGCACCTTCAGGTGTCCTGGAGAGGGATTGGGACTAAGTCAGTGGCACATGTATGAAGCACCATTGTGTGGCCCCTGAGTGGACACATCCCCTTCTCTGCTGGAGGTTGCTGGTTAGACATGGGGGGTGAGGAAGCCATGGGGCCCAGATCCCCACTCTGTCCCATCCCCAGCTTCTGCCTCCCATCGCAGATAAGAGCCATCCTTCATCAGTACCCAGTGCAGGACCCTAACACAGGGTATTGTTCTGGGAATTGAAGCTGGGGACAAGATGCCTTAGTTATGCCCCCGAATCTGGAGACGATGAAAGGGTTGGGGAACTAGCCTGTGGGGAAAGATGAAAGTGTCTTGGATTTCTCAGTTGGGTGGGAAGGCTGAGAGGGGCTTAATGATGGTGTTAGTAAAAATAAAGGGTGATTAGATGAGGCAAGGAGGGTGACTGCTAGGCCAGCCTGGCAAACCTGAATATAGGCTTCAGTGACCACAAGGCCACCCTCCCCTCCCACGCTTTTCTTTGCCCCCGCCTTGGTGTCTGGACTGCCTGACTGCAGAAGGCCATGGAAAGAATACTGAAGGTCCAGAGTGCAGGGCTGAGGGAAAGGTGGGACTCCCAGGCACCCAGGGTAATGACAGGATTCAGAAACTAGCTTCTGGGAAAGACTCAAGCACTGACCTGATTTTGTTTATAGGAAGGGATTGGGGTGAATGCTTTGGAGGGACAGGGGAAGGGTGAGGGTAACAATACTGACCTTTAGACGGTGGTTATTATACAGGGGACAGTGGGAGCCAAGTGGCAGGAGGACAGTCGGAGCAGAGGAGGCAGGTTTCCCTTTTCCTAATGGGTCAAACTTTATGGATAGTGCTTGGAGCCCAATATCTTCTGTAACAATGTTCAAAAGTCCTTCCTTTTCCTTTCATTAAAAAA